ATGCAGCACAATAATATGCAACCCTTTCGCGAGGGTGGCATGCTCATCAGCATGATCATTTAATTGCAATTCACAGGCCAAATGTCGTCCGCGTGCAATTAAAAGCCAATTTGAATATCTGTCGCGCGATGCTTCCGAGAGATAAGAGACAGACGCTTCGGGAGGGAGAAGGGGGGAGGCAGGTAGGGAGGCTTCACTAATTTGAATAGTGGCGCGAAGCTCCAATTAAATTGCAGCACATCTGGCGTTTGCGTTACTTCCGGTCTCGGCGTGGCTGCTTCCGCGAGTTTGAACGCTTCCCGCCATAATCTGACCAGAAATCGGACGCTCCGATCAAGCGGAAGAAGAGCAGTCTTTGATTTCCACCTGCGATTGTTGGCAGCACTGACAAAGAGCAGAGCATTGTTTCGCTTGATTACTTCTTTGCCTCCCTCTGCAGACGTGCCTGCGTGGGAATATGCCAAATCGTGGGAATCCGACTTTTTCTTAAGGTGCTCTGCTTTGTAAATGCGTTAAGAGAGGAAAATTTATTCAAGTCACCTTACACCATAACCATAAGGGGCAATTACAATGGAAAACCATCTGCCTATTCGAGCTTGAAAAGGCAAAAAATCATGACTGCACCTGAACACGCGGTAATTCGGGAGCTGAATGAAAAAGCGGGGGGACAAACTGAATGGGCCTCTATACATACATTAGAAAGAGAAACAGACGCAAGGTGGCCCCTTTAAAAGAGACCTGCACCCGCGAACGCACGCAAACACCGCGCACGGCAATTAGAATATTGTCGGAAGAGCTCAATTGTTTTATCACCAGCATTTCATCGCAAATGGGGAGGAAGTAGAGCGCATTCTCAAGCAGTGAGTCACGGCGCGAATGACAGCAGGTGAAAAAAAAATACTTTGAAGATAATAGAATGGCTTTGGAAAACTGATTTGCCGCGCGTATAACATTTTTAATAAAAGTAATTTTCAATTATTCCACTATGTAGTGTATGAAGTTTCGTAACTCTTTATCCTGTGATATCCGAAACGCATGTCAGCTTAGGGGGATGAAAAAAATGAGGCATATTTATCGGCAGCTTTGTTAAAAAAACATACTTGTTGAAAATTTATGCACGACGTGTGCCTGCATTTTTGCAAGCTGCACTGGTGAGTTTCTGCACTCGTTAAACTATATCTCAGGATTCATTTTGCAAACTTTCATGTGTGAATTTTTAAATGAAGAGAAAACGAGCATAGTTTTCTGATTGATTTAGCATATAGAAAATTGTTATGGGTGCAATCAACGAGCAGGATTCATAAACAGCAGTTAGGCTTTCGCACAGTGAATTTGATTTTGGAAAATTATAAACGCAGCAATTATATACCTTAACAGAATGCAATGTAGACGCCTTGCGCAGGTGAAAATTTAAGCGAAGCGACGGGAGGAGAGGTGACGCCGCGCGATTGCAAGTGGGTCAAGAATGCTAAGGGGTTGTATATATCGGAGACGAAGACACAGGTCTTTAAATTTGGTTTCAAACACCTGCCACTTTTGCTTTTAGGACGCCGGAAGTGGCACGGAAATGGTAGATAATTTGAATCATAGTTATGTGCTTTAATCAATCTGCACGTGTTCTAAAAACCAAAGTTGCTTCTGTAAGAAATTTTTTCATATAAATCCTCGATATAATTCATTTTAAAATAATTTAAATAAATGGCAATTACCTTGTGTGAGCTAATTGTTCACAAAATTTAGGTTGCATAAAAAAAATTTTTTTTAATAAAATTAGAAATAAATTAAATTAAAACCTCAAAATTGTTAAAAATTGAAAATAGTAAATTTTTTAATCAAGTACATTAAATTACAATGTATTCTTAATCAAATGTTACAGATTTTGTGCAATTTAAATTATTTCTGCGTTTTGCTCATTTTTGCCAAAATTCCGAAACACAAAGAATACTTTTTGCTAATGAGAGACGCACATGAAAGTCTCTTCGCAAATATATCCCCCGTCGGCAAATTACTCGAAAAAAGAACCGCTTCGCTAATCTGCCAACATGTAAGCACGCGTACATACATTGCGCTAATTACGCCGTCCGAGCCATTAAGCGTGACATCAAAAGTTGGCGAAAAAGCGCACATGTCATTAACAATTTTTCGTTTCGTACTTTGGCGACCAACCCTTCTTTTTCCTTTTCCTGCTTCGTTGTCAAAGTCTTTGAAAAAAATGAGCATCCCTTTTTAAATGCCCCGCTCTGCCTTCTCTTTGGCAAATAAAAAAAAAATCCGTGCTGGCTGGCCTGCACTTGAGCCCCGCACTTCCGGTCAGTGCAGTAATTGACATACGGCGTTTCCTATCGCGTGCCGCCGGCTTAATTTTCGGCCACGAGCTTTAATTGTCGGACATAGACAAGATAATCGATTACACGCAACAAAATCACCTGCTCATTTAGCCAATTTGGTGCGTGGTTTTTTTTTTGTCAAAAGAGGGGATTTTTGATAAAAACAAAGGTCAATTATCGTGATCAATCAAATTTCACTCCAGGGGTTAGGTTGTAAAAATGTAGCAGATGGTCTATCGCGTCGCTTTTTGGTTAACTTTGACTTGCGGGTGGCCGAGGTTAATCAGAATAAGTGCTAAAAGTTCAATAAAGTCATAAATCCAAAATTGTGTTGCTAACATTGTAAAATAAACTGATATCATCCCCAATAAAATAATGTTATATGTTATTTACGGAAAATTGTGGCAAAGAATAATATAAATTTTGTAATGTAATTAAATTAATTTTATATATTAAAGAGTAACACTAAATATATTTTATTTTTTGTTTTCCATTCATGAAATACTAAATAATACTCAACATTTAAAGTTGACAAATTATTACAAATATTTGTTCTATAAAATTCTATCTGCTGAAAATTAAATCTAGAATTCTTATAAAATTTAATCATTTCGTCTTAAAATGATTGTGATTGTGATTTTGGAATCTTAATCCATTACATCTTATACCACCCCGCAGAACGCCTGTGCCACGCAGGTTGCATACCTTTACACCCCAGATAAATAAGCTGCAGGACAAACAAATCCGAAAGATAAATAGAAAAACGGACACCGGTGCCCTCAATTGCGAAACAGGCAGCTCGACACGTAAAAACCCAATCATGTCAAACGCAATTAAGCAGAAGCGGTGCATCGGTGCAACTTGCAACGCCCATTACTCATTTCTCTCGCGGCTCGCTGTGCTCTCGCAAAAAGCGCAGGCACTTTTCCCGGAATGGGACAAAGGAAATAATCATGAAAAAAGTGGCGTGTGTGCGTTTGTTGTTGTTGCGGGATGAGGCAACGCGTGTTGCATAGCCGGTCAGGCGAAAGCCGGCAGGTGTGCTTTGGATTTAGAAAAATGACTCGGCACAAAGGATGATTAATTTAACTGGGTTACATTCGTCAACTTGTGCGATACTCGCCCCGTAAAAGTAGTACGGACAGCATTTGTGCAGGATTCCGCGAAGTGGTTATGCAACCGATGAAAAGTTTTTCCAACACCCTGTGCGCGGAAGTGGAGCGGGGAAATGATTGTACGTGGTTGCACTTTTATAATATGGATCCGCGTATGGCAAGAGACCTCAAAATGTCAGCAGGCCTTTCAGCGACCGAGACGGATGGAGGTGTGTTTACATTGCACCTCTCGGTCTTATACACAAACCCATCTCATTAGTGTTAGGTAACATCGATTTGCAACGGCGATAAAAAGTAAAATAAAAAAAGAGTGTTGAGCTGCTAACCTCCTTGCAAACGGACAATCAATTCCAGGAAAGTCCAGCATGACAAGAATAAGAGCAAAAAAAACTGAAGGAATTTCTCAGATTAAATTATATTGCGCTTTTCTCCCCCTAGAAAAGAATACAATTTGTTTGAATATATTTTTTTCCTCAATTTTTCAAGTAAAAATTAAATTAAAAAAAAAATTCATGACACACCAATTCAGTTAGAAAAATGAATTCATTTAATTAAAATGCGGATTGACGATTTAATTTCATTATAATTCTCAATCCTCTGCAATTTCACAGCTACAGACTGATGAAAGCGTCTGCTTTTTTAAATTCACTCTATAGCTCAATTGAACATGGGATCTTTCCAAATTGTGTAAATCTGATTCCATATAAGTAGCTTCAAATTTTTTGTACTTTTTTAATATCTGAACTAATTTGAGACAGTAATTTGTTTTTTCTGTTGAACTTTATTTTTTTCCAGAAATTAAATTTCTTCAACAATAGTGTTTGAAAATTATTGTACACGAGTTTAAAAAACTTCAAGCAAATTCTGATAATGTGCATTTTATATTTTGTTAAAAAATATAATGCCGTAATAAATTTTAAAAATTAATAAATCTCGTTTCTTCCGATTTTCTGCTGTAGAAGTTTATAATTAAATTTTGCTTTACAAAAATACTTCGGGAATTTTTCATCTAAAATGTCACCTTTTTCTGGAAAAGAGACTTTAATCATATTGTCTATGCAAGAACATTTTTTATCTTTTTTGTAAGCGATCACTGTAGATTAATTAATAAAATCTCTAATAATTATCGCATTATTTTCTACAAATTTTCTAATATTTACATTTTTTCTCCCAATCAAAGCAATTTGTGAGGAAATCAAAGTTTACTGAACTCGTGCTCTAATTTGCTAAAAATCTATAGCGGTGTCATCGTTCGATATAATAATCCCTAATCCACACTTCTCGTGAGCAGCTGTACGATAAATACAGGTATTATGGGGATTAATTAATATTTCACGCGACACTCGGCGACAAATAGACCGCGGGCGGCGTGACCGTTTATGTAATCGAACACGCTCAGCTACACACCGCGCCGCCGAGTCAACGAGCGTGATGCACATTGTTTACTTCGCGCGCGCGGCTTTCCTTTCTTTCTTTAATGTTATGCACGACGGCATTTGAGAGAGACGTCCTGGGCGCCCATTCAAAAGTGAAAAACGCAACAATGCAAGGTACTTACCATACTAACGGCTGGCCGAGTGTGAAAACGGGTGGCGAAAGGTCAAGGTCGGAGGCGATTTCCTCTTCTATGCCAGACGCCAGACGCGAGCTGCCTTCTATAATTAAGCGCCGCGGCACGTGACCTGCACAAAACAAAGGAAAATGTGCGTGAGAAAAAGTGTGTAATCTGAGAACATTAACGTTTGTTATCAGAAATATGGTTGTCTGTGGTGGTAAAATAAGTTAATGGGAAAAAGTTAGAAATATTGTTTCAGCATTTGATAGCTTATTTCATCTGCAAAATTCTAATTTAGAAAGCAAGAAAAATTTAAAGAAAGTTTATTAGCAATGATTTTTATTTTGAAAATTTAAATAGAAACTAACTACATTGAGAATTTTTAATTTTATTTATTTATGTTCCATTCGAAACACAATCATGAATACAGAAAATAAAAACTATAACTTAAAAGTACAGAAAAAGCTGATAATATACAATTGAAATGAGACGTCAATTTGGGAGCGAATGGAGAAATGGCTTTTCTCTTCCAAGCAACTTCCTAAAGCACAGCAAACTCTCCTTCGATGGAAATTTCACTAGCCGCTAGAGCCATGGCTGATTTTTTTTATTTTGTTAATTTCTATTTTAGTTAAATCTCCTTAATTTTTTTGAACTTTTGAAAAAATAAACAGATAAATGTGATTGTTGGAAAGAAAAAATCAAATTCTTTGTTTGAGGTCTCGACTATATATTATGCTAATAAGAACTCCGAAAATTCAAAGCGTCAACAAAGCTTCAAGCCAACAAAAATAGCTTTCGCCAGATTGGCCTTTTTTGGACAAAATGAGAATATACTTGTGAAAAATGGGCCAACAAATTTTGCTTAAAATTGCAAGCTCTGCAAATTCAATTTAATTAGATAATGACAAGAGAACAGAGGAGTTTTCTTGACCTTTGTGATCCACCAAAAAAGCATAAATATATAGTGAAATAGGAAAGCAATTTTATTTTGAATGTACAACAATGTTCAACAATCAAAATAATCCCTTAATGATTCCAGAAGCAAAAGCCCCTCCTTAAGAATCATCAAAACTGTCTTTTGGGAATCCATTCTGGAGTAAATCCAATATTTTCTACTCTCCCTTTTGTCAGCTAAATTTTTTACAAGAATTTTGTTTTTAAAAAAAGTATTTGTTACCCTTTTGAATATAAAAATGCCAATTCTCTGGAGACAGCGAATTTTTTCCGCGCACCCTTTTCCTAATCTCTTTGACCTCCACGTTGGCCAATTAAGCGTCAATTTAAGCAACAGAGTGAGTCCCTCTCCCTTTGAAGTCCGTCTTTTTTCCGTCAAAGCTTTTTGCGGCCCCGGTACATAATACTAAATTGTACATCTTGCTCTCTTCATAAATCAAGCTCTCTGATGCGGCCGGCAAATAAAATCCTCCCTTGAGACGAACACACGCGCGCGCAAGCCTTTTACGAGCTCAATTACAGTCGCCGGAGAATATTAAGCGTGCATGTGTTGGTTTAGCTCGCGCAGTGCGATGGTCATTTTCTTGTCTCCGGCCGGCGAGAACAAATTAATACCACGGAACGAATGACAAGCGAGCTACTGCGCAAAAGGAAAAATGAAATAAATCGTTCTCGCGAGAAGATGAAGACGGAGCTGCAATTGTAAATGAATTCATACGGCAATTATCGTATTGGCCGCGCACATAATTATCCTTTGTCGTGGCAGCAAGTTTCAAAAGTAAACAAGCGGGCATCATTAGAGCAGCGATTGAATACAGAGGATAATACACAGCAGAAATATAAATTGATTGATATAATTATAGTTGGAGATTTTGATTGTCGGCGCGGCTGCAACTGGGTCGTCGTCGGAGGTTATTGCATGTGTGTGTTTGCATAGAGTGCGTGGTGCATCCAATTATGATATTATGATGTCGCTCACTCTGTGAAACCGAACCAGACGGTCTAATTTCGCGCAGATATTATTCACTGTTTGTGTTGGTGCACGAATCGGCCGTGCGCTTTGTTAATGCGACAGCGCAGACGGTTGCATGCTGGGAAAATAGATTTGTGATTGCGTAATGCATAATTATCCCTATTTCTATATAATTCGAATAGTCGCAAGGTTGCAAAAATTACAACATTTAAATTAATAATAATCAAATGCTCATTGCGACAAATAGATATCCTTAAGATCTTAGAAGTTTTGGCAAAATCTTTGCCAATGCTAGTGTCTTTAATATGTTTAAACATTTAAATGTTTAATTTATTATCATTACCAATTATTAAAATATTTTACATCTTAACCAGTTCTACTATACTGAATTTCAAACAAAATGTGCTCGTTAGTTAACATGAGCACCAGCCGATAAGCTTTTTAGCTTGGCTGGACTTGTACCATTCGAATAATAAAATATCTCTTTCAAAAAAAATAAATAAATAAATAAAAAAAAATATTTGCTACTGTTTCGTGATTTGAAAAAAGGCAGAGAAAAATGCAAAAATCAATGAAACTATACCCAAAGAACCGATAAAAATTTATTAAGCTGCAAAATTATATCACATAGTAATGTTATATTATTAGCTTATTTTAATTTAGTATACTAAAAAATTATTAGTATATTTTTCCTTACGTTGATAGTTCGGATTTAAATTTATTTAATGTAAAATTTGAAGGTACAGTGAAATCTTTTTAATGTTGCCATCAATTGATACATATATTTTTATCAAAAATTAATCCCACGAATGTAAAATAAGTTGAGATTTAACGTTTCATTATAACAGGAGATGCTCCATTGAATGTTGAATTACTAAAATAAAGCTAATGTTGCTACAGGGAACGAGTCTCTTTATAATAGTTACATGATAATTTTGAGCAGCTAGTTTTATTAAAGATATAAAATCTCTTCAATCAAATCCATAATTGAATACATAAACCAGCCGCAGATCAATTTTTCTTCTTTTTTTATCCTTCTCATCTCAACCCCGATCTATGCCGCATCTATCTTCAAATCATCCAAGCGTGTTTTTTGTCCACTTTTTAATTTAAACATTACCGCGCATCGCTCTATGCTCCGGTCGCACATGACACACCTAATTATCGCCTGGATTATACTTTGACAGATAATCTCATATTCATCATCTCTCTCCGCGCGAGCAACACTATATATCTGCCGCTTTCCTTCTTTTTCCTTCTCCTCTCTTTTCTTGCTACATAATAAAATGGTAATTTTTTTATATTCCTGCAGCTCCCCTTTCGGTGTCTAATCGAAAGACCTGTTTTCTTTCACCTCTCTCTCGCGCGTAATAAAGCACATAGAGGAGAAAAAAGCACGGACAAGTGAGAAGACGAACTGGCATCATTAAATTTTTATACACACACATACAGACCGAGAGTCATTATTTCAGGGAGAAGTATTAAGTGTCGCCGAGCACCTGAAAACCATTTTTCATCCGGCGCGAAATCGTTTTCGACTTTATACTCTCTTTTGATTCAAGAGTGTTGGTTTTCCGACGAGAATTGAGAGAGATGCATATCATATAATAAACACATGCAAAAAGGAGCGGATCGTTTATTCAAATCAGCGGGGAATTCAAAAAGTTAAAGAGAGGAGCGGGAAATTGCTGGGAAATGCGTTATGAATAATTTTCAGATTTGCAACTGCAGAAATTTCTCCTGAGAGCTTCCGAAAGAGACAAATCGTCTTATCCGCGACGAAGGGGAGGAAATTTATTTTTTATGCTATGATATTTTTTGTATCCTCTCTCCATCCAAATTTAATTTGCTTTATCAATCAGAAAATTGTGTGCAGGAGAAAATTAATCGCTTGCGATTTATTTTGCACCGCGAGGGAAATTTTTATGTGTATCTTTTATCTACCCGCATCTCTCTCGGCGAAATAAAAAACACTCATTCTCACTTCATTTGCTGGCGTAAAAAATTGCCGCACATTACCAGAGACGGAGGAGCATCAGGGGTGCATTCTGCCTCGTAAGCAAAGTGATATTAAAAATTGCATTCTGATCTCGCGGCGCGCATTGAAAGTGCATTTGAGCTGATAAGTGGGAGCAGGCGATGCAAATTTGCATAATCACCTCTCGTGCTGTCGTCGTCGCATTTGTTAAATTGCGTGCACTTTTTATGCGCTCACCAAGACAGCTAGACGGTGAAAAAAATTTGTTATTAAAAGACGAAGAGGGAGAGAGAACTTTTAAATTTAATAACAAAAGTCAAATCAGGATGGGAAAAGAATTATTTTTAAAAGATAATACATTTATTTTTGTTAATTAAAATTTTTGATTTCTTTAAAAAAATAACTTTGAATTATTCAAAAAAGTAAAAAATAATACATTTACAAATGATGCCCAGAATCCTTGTAAAATTTCATTTGCATTGATCATTCAATCCATAAAATTGATGAAAATGTTTTTATAATATTAATTTTAGAAAGATACAAATTAATAATTAATTTGCCTTCAGCAGTGTATGGCTGAGATTTATAATTTTGTTTTACAATAAATTGCTTTAAAAATACTGCAATTAAACTTCTTGTTAAAAGAACAAAATTCTTATTTCAATATTTGACTGAATTACAATTTTTCATAAAAAAAAAGTTTTTCAATAACAACTTATTTAAATATTTTTTCTTCAGACCGAATTTGGCTGATGTGAAATGAGATGATATTCAGCTTTCAACATAAAAAATGCGAAAAAAAAAATGAAATTGCCTTGGCGTGACACTGCAGAAATCACTTCAATTTGCATCCGCCGCAAATTGCTCTCTCCTATGGTATTATTTTTCCAACACATTTGAGGATCATTTTTAAACTTCCCATTTTCGGCCCCCCTCCAGTAGCTAATTTGAATAATTACCGCGGCAAATATAACAGGTGTGCAGCCGCGGGTGTCTGGTCAGCGTCAAAGTATTAAAATGAGTAGCAGAGGGAGGGAGAGGGCGGCTTTTGCTTTTTGTATTTTTTAAATTAATGCCGCTTTCGCACGCCACGCACGCAGCGCGGCACAATGAGTCATTAAGCAAAGAACGACCGAAAAAGGACTGTGTGCATGTCTGCATCATGCGCTCACCAGACACAAACTCGACTTTTCGGTTGTTTGTCTTGCTAGCTTCAGGG